AGAAACACCTTAAGTCCATAGTTAAAAGACAACCAAAGGAAACTTATGTTTGAGCATGACAGCTGATAGCGTAGACTCAGCATGAGAAGCACTTTATTTTAATAGGCAAGCAAAGGAAACTTAAACTTTGAACCTGTGATTATACAGTTGGGTCATATAGTGGAATGTTTTATTAGAGTTAGGCTAATTTATAAGAACTATACTGGTTAATGTTAGGACAAAAGCAAGGAGAGGAAATATGAAGCATTTAGTCACTGGAAACTGAGTTTAGATAGGAAAGTAACCTTATCTCTGTAACCTTTTTTTTTTCTCCCTTATCTAGTGTTAGGGGCTAAAATGGTGGAAGGAAAAGGGTGGAAAAGGGAAGAAAGGAGAGAACTAGCAAAGTATCCAAATCCAGCTCTAAGTGATGCCCAACATGGATCCAGACTGAATGGGAAATTTGATTCCAAATGCTGTAGAGAAACTGGTACAGGACAAAGGGATGGATAATTTTCTTTCTGCATTCCAGCAAAAACTTTATTGGGACTGCCGTGACTGGATTATCCCCGGATTAGCTCCCAGAGAAGATCGTCTGCTGTTTCTTTTTCTTCTCCCTATATTCTGTTTGGAAAAAATTTGAGGGAATGGATGTGCGGCTGGAAAAACCGTGGGTGGGAATTGGAGGGCCCAAGAAACAAAAATGGCAGAAATGGGAAAACCGAAGGGGCGACTCTACACTTTGATTTCTGAAAGGTTTGCCTAGTTGGCTTTATAACTGGGAACATGGAGGGTGGAAATGAAAGCCCTCGGGAGTCGAGGAGCACACGAAAAGGAATCACAAAAAGACTTGGTCCCAGTGCCGTAGCAAGAGAGCAGAAGCCTCTCCCAGGAAGAAAGAGGGAAGGAAGGTTCTGGACGGCAGTGGGGTCAGAGGGAAGCCCGAGAGGGGAGAGGAGGATCAAATGAAACACCCCACTTTAAAGAAAGTTCGAATCCCCAACCAACTGCACCACCAGAGTGGGAGGAGGGGTGGGGAGAAGGAGTGGCCGAGGATTAAGAGATCCCCCATCAGCTTCCCAGTAGTCACACAGCACATGCCTTTTTTTTTTTTTTTTTTGAGACAGGGTTTCTCTGTGTAGCCCTGGCTGTCCTGGAACTCACTCTGTAGACCAGGCTAGCCTCGAACTCTTGAACTCAGAAATCCGGCTGCCTCTGCCTCCCAAGTGCTGGGATTAAAGGGGTGCGCCACCACCGCCCGGCCCAGCACATGCCTTCTAATGGTATGGAACAAGGTTATGCTGAGACAGGATGGCATCCTATAGAAATGACAGATCTAAGACAGTTTTAAGAGGCCATTTTTTTCATACGGGATGCATAAGCCTTATGTAAATTCTAAATAACTGGGCTACTGAAATATTTCCGAAGCTTGGAAGGGATTAGTGGCAGGGTCGGCCCACTGCAACGGTTAACAAAATGGAGGGAAGAAGATGTGAATACTGAACAGCGAAACAAAGCCGGGGGATGAATACAGAAAAGACCAGTTGCTAGTTGAAGGGAAGTACTCTGACATACAAAACAGACTCCATTTAATGATGCTGCTATACAACAGTGCCACTCAGCAGCTTGAAGAGCTTGGGGTAAAGTCGAGCCTGGGAAAAGGTCTGCCTTGTTTACAAAGATTACATAAGGCACTGGAGAAGCCTTCACTGATTTGATTTTTTTTTCCCAAAGATTAGTCTCAGCTGTGAACAAAGCCTATCAGACTCTGAATTGAGGCAGGTGTTGATAGAGACCTTAGCATTTGAAAATTCAAGTACCAAATTTTAAAAAACCAAAACTAAAACCAACCAAACAAAAAATAGACCATTAAAGGCCCAGGCGGCACTTATGCAGGAGTGGATAAGGGGCACAACCAACACTGGTCCTAACCTGTAGCATGCTAATATCAAAGGTCAAAGTATAGCTAGCGGTCTCCGATATCAAACTGGCCAGTGTGCCAACTGCAGAAAACAGTCATCTGCGAAGACACTATGACCAAGTCACTAAAGGTCTCAGATCTCAGAATGCTTGGCGCTTTAACAGTGGAGAATATCTACAACAAAAGTGTGAACAAGGCTTCTCTAGGGGCAATAATTTTTCTAAGTATAAACCAGAAAGAAGGCCTAGGCACCTAAAGGTGTGCAGAAAGTGAGTCAGCGTTTGCCTCTGGACCGGTGTGTGTAGGTGAAGAGAGAGATTCAAGGTAATTTCTTAGCATCAGGAAATGGCCTGTGGGCCTGGAGCCCCACAGAAAAAATATGAGCTGCTTGCTCCTTGTCAGCCAAGGAGGAACATACCCCAAAACCTCAACTGAGAAGTGCAGTTCTAATGCATGCTACTACAGGCAGTGCTGCTCTCGAGCTGGCCACAGATCTTACTCTATCCCCCAACATTTAATGTTACAAAATAACTACTGGAGTTTATGGTCCTTTGCCCTCGGAATGATCTTGGGAAGGAATGGATTGACTTCCTAGAGATTCATTGTGCATCCAGGAAATATAGATGAAGCTTTCAAATGAGAAATTAAAATTATGGCCGATGTAAAAAGAGATGCAATTTAATGCACGTGACAGGATTGCTCAGCTGCTGCTGTTTTCCCGAATCAGAGGCAACACCACTCCAGTGGAAAGAGCAGGAAAAGTCATCTGAAAGCCTAGGCCACTGACCCAGAAAACACTTACTTCATTGAAAATGTCTCTGTTTATAATTTCCCACTACACACACCACAATTTATGGCTTCAAACAGAAGTATAGAACTGTGACAATTTTGTCATTTTGGTTTCTTTAAAAGACACAGAAGCATTCATTGTAAGAATGTTTCCATTTTAACCCCAGGTGTGGGATGTGGGCTGCTTCAGACTGTCTGCACTGCTGACTTATGACTTGCCTCCTACTCTAACAGGGGAGTGATTTTGCCAACTGTAGATAGTTTCTGCAATTGCACAATGATTGGCATTTTGGGGACTTTTCAGAGCATATATAAATGCCAGGGACACGAGAGAGTGTGTTGTTAGTTGGTTATGATTTAAGTGGTTGTGTGCAAAAAAGAGAGAACAAAAAGAAGTTAGGTATCCTAACAAAGAAGATCAAACTTGCCCCCATGAAACTCGATGCCCCTAATTAGCAGGACGGTTTAAGGACTACATTGCTGCCGGTTTCTGATCCCTGACATTATTCAGGAATCTCTTTCCTTTTCTTTCTATCCCCTTTTCTTATGTAGTGTGAGGGGGAAGAAAAAAATCCGTAAAATAGCTGGGGATTGAATTGGGTTTCTCAGCTTTACAAAGTACTTCACTGACAGCTGTCTTCCCAAGCTCCTCCTCTTCTTCCTGTTTTTTTTTTCTTTTACTATTATTAGTTTTAATTATAGTTAAGTATGTGCACATGGTCCTTACAGAAGCTATTGCCAGGAGCAAAACATCTGACATGTTACTGGGAATTGAACTCAGGATCTCTGGGTGAGTAGTCCATTCTCTTAGCCCACCAAGCCATCTCTCCAAGGCTCTAGTTGTTGGTTTTTGTTTCTTTGGGGACACTAGCCCACATGGCATTGAATTTGTGATCCTCCTGTTAGACTCCCCAGGACTTGACACACAGCCAGACATCTTGTCAGGAACTCATCAGAGAAGTGAAGACAGCAGAGGTGAACTTAACATTCACCTTAGTCTCAGTCACCTGGAGCCTACAGGAGAAGGATCTTCTGAGTTCAGAAGTTCAGGGCAACAGATACCAAGATGTCTTTTAAAATTGTGTGTTGAGGAGATGGGTCAGTGGTTGAGAGCACTTGCTGTTCTTCCAAAGAACCAGAGTTTGGTTGCCAACACCCACATCAGCCCCCACACAATTGCCTGTAGCTCCAGCCACCCTCTCCTGGCCTCTACAGCATCTGTACACAGACACACACACACACACACACACACACACACACACACACATTTTTAAAAGGCAGCAATAGACTGTGACCCTGAGCTTTGCTGTAGTCCTGGGCCAGTTGCTCAGCCTCCTCTCATCTGTCTCTGAGCACAAAGGGATGCAGAGGCTCAGATTTCCTCCAGTTCAAACAGGTGGGGAGACTCCCCTGCCTGTGGCTAAGCTTGGCTACAAAGGCCCAGCCCAGGGTGTTCCCAGAGTGAACAAGCTGTCAGGGCCTTTCCCTCCGAATTCAACAGCTGCCGACTAGCAGGCTTCTCTCTGATGGACACAGAGATGTCTGGGGAGGCAGAGTGAGCACAGACTGCTTACCAGCTCGTGTAGGGTCAGATGTCTACCTCAAGGGCCTCTTCCTGACTAGGATTATTCTTAAAGCTGCTTCTTGTCCCAGGCACAGAGGAAATAACTTTAAAAGCCATAATATGGGGCTGGAGAGATGGCTCAGTGATTAAGAGCACTGACTGCTCTTCCAAAGGTCCTGAGTTCAATTCCCAGCAACCACATGGTAGCTCACAACCATCTGTAATGGGATCTGATGCTCTCTTCTGTTGTGTCTGAAGACAGCTACAGTGTACTCATAAATCAATCTTTTAAAAGCAAATCCATAACATAAAATACAAGAATAGTTTATGAGGTTTTTTGTTTCTTTTTCTTTTTTTTTCTTATGCCACCAAATTTTGCACATGCCTGCCTTGATTCAGAAAAACCTAAATGATACCACCTTCAAGAATTGTTTCTCTCCTTTTATCACTGAAATCAAGTCATGGGAGTTGTAGCCCTTACCTGCTATGAACCTCGTGTGTGTGTGTGTGTGTGTGTGTGTGTGTGTAACTGAGGGCAATCTTAAATTTCTGAACATCTTTGTACCACAAGACACCAAGTGCTGGAATCAAGCCTGTGCCAACACAGACAGTAACTACAGTACTGAGAATGGAACCCAGAACTGTTCTGTCTCATTTGCTTGGCTGAATATTTTGGATTTTTTCAAGAGAAACTAGAAAGTTGGGCCTTTGGTCCATGTGAGAAATACTTTGGTTTTTAAACCTTAATTAATTTCACTTGTTATTTATTTTTAGAAGCAGTCTCAGGTGACCCAAACTGGTCTCAAATTCCTGATCTCCCTGTCTCTACCTCCCCAGTGTGGGGATCACTGGCAGGCACCACCACACCAGGCTCTTGATCAATAACTCAACCCCTGAGAATGCAGCTGGCTCAATTCACACAGAGCTATCAGCTTTAGTCTCTGCATTAAAGAGGCACTGACTTCAATAAGGTTCTCCTCAACCTCAAGCCTCTCAATACTTCTGAACCAGGAGACTGCTCTTGCTTCTCATATGGAGTTCTAGTGGGGTACCCCACCCCAACCCAATAGACTCAGGATCTGCGTGTGTGCAAATGCATCTGGTAATCACCTAGAAGACTGTACCCTGTGCCCAGGACCAGCATTAGCTAGAACATCTGTGACTTCCGCAGGATGCCATAAATTCAAGCCTCTGGGCTTCAAAGGATGTACATATTTCACCCTCTGTGTTGGCACTTTTAAGACCATCCCCCACACTCCTGGAATATCTCTGGGTAATGCTGGAAGCCCACTGGTGGTTCCGGGTCCTCTTGGCCAGGGTCCAGGGATATAGATAACTGACTGGCTTTTCTGTCCCTATGGCCTTTGCCTCCTGGCCGATGGATCCACTGGTGCTTCGTCATAGCTGACTTAGTTGGAAAGCGTCTGCCACACTGAGGGCAGGAGTAGGGACGCTCGCCGCTGTGTGTCCGCCTGTGGGCTGCCAAGTCAGAGCTCTGGCGAAAGCAGCGACCACAGTCAGGGCATGAATAAGGCTTTTCACCCGTGTGGGTGCGAATGTGGCACCGAAGATATGCAGCACGGGCAAAGGCTCTGCCACAGTGTGTGCAAGTAAAGGGGGTCAAGCCGCTGTGCACCACCCGCTGGTGCTCATGGAGCCCTGAGCTCTGGCTGAAGCAGTGTCCACAATCAGCACAGCAGTAAGGCTTCTCCCCAGTGTGGACACGGAGATGGGTAATGAGGCCAGAGCGATGCGTGAAGGCCTGCCCACAGTCAGGACAGCTATATGGCCGGTCCCCTCGGTGTATGGCCCGGTGCGTGCTCAGGGAAGAAGGTCGGCTGAAGGACTTGCTGCACTCAGGGCAATGGAATGGTTTTTCACCTGTGTGAGTGTACATGTGCGCCACCAATGTGGACCGCTGGGTAAAACTCTTCCCACAGTCAGGACAGCGATGAGGTCGTTCTCCGCGGTGTATGGCTCGGTGCATGC